GACGCGCGGAACCTGGCCAGGAGCTGTTTGCGCTGGCCATTTGTGTATCGCGTCTGTTTTCCCTTGGTTGCGCTCATTTGGAAATGCGTGCTGGACTTGCTGACAGATTTGAAAAGCGTCATTTGTAGATTTGAATCGAGCCAATTAGAGGCAAGCGACTTTGTGATTGGTTATCGAATATTCCCATGAAGTTATCCAATCAAAACACAGAATCATACATCCCTACTTTTGGTTATTTATTTAAATTTTGGAGAGTTGCCCTAGCTGGGTTTTACCAGCAGTTTATGGGGCTAACTCATCAAGAAATGATGACATCCAATCAAATGCCATCAATTCATTAGGCCAAACTGCATCTCAGGGTTGCAGGATTGCATGATTTAAATGGATAACGTTACTGTAATATCATACTCGACGCCGTACTGTACGCTATTAGTATGTTATTATTACAGTAGTACGCATGCGAAGTGGATTCTTGTGTAAGCACCGGCAAGGGGTTCTATGTACTCGGCCATGATAGCATTGTTGGGTCAATTTCGACGTGATAATCCAACGTGGCAACTGCTTGAACCCCGATCCCTGCCATGGGGACGTCTGGGGATGCAGAAGGAAGTGCCATATTGCATATCTTTTCTCCTTGTACAGTAGAGTATCAGAGAAATGCATAATTGCTCAAGCATATTGCGCTGAACCCCTGGTAACGTCAGCATTTGTATATTCCACGTAGGAAACGTCCCCTACCCCTTTAACAACAACACGATTTTGTCCGTGCCATATCCACAGTCTGCATGAAACTTGCTCGCAGCTTTGAGTGGCCACCAAAACTACCGGCAGTACGAGAGGAACGCCAATGATAATCACAGGGGCGAGACAACGAAATAAGTTGGCACAACGGACACGATTTTCTGCATCCCGGTGTCGACAGCATGACACGAACGGTAAAGTTGAACGTGCAACTGTACAGGTTGGACGGTACCACTTGTTGTTCACGAGACACAAGGGCCTCACACAAGAGAGTTGAGTAGTTGCGACATGAAGATAACACTTCTTGCTGAGTAGATAATGGGGACTGGAGCACAAAGGTTGTGAAATGATTTGGGGGTTTCCACGGCTATAGGAGGGGGGTAGCTCCGACATCCCCGTAATCGACCAGGATGTATGCGAGCCCGAATCCACCAATGAACTTGAGTGGTTTCAGCAACACACGAAAAGTTCGCACATACGTGACCAGCAAACACATGTGTCCACAGATGAATTCTTACAGTACCACTGTGGGCGTCCTCGCAGTCCAGTCACACTTTTACAGGAATGATTAGCCTTCATAGCAACATTTCAACGTTGATGCACACCCCCACGACCACCGACATCTCCATCCCTCCACACGAGATCGACGCCATGTTGCAAGAGGTCGCGACATTCCTATGGTCGTCCAAGGAGCATCAAGGGAACACGAGCGTGTCTGCGCAGCAGCAAAAGCCAAAGAGGAAGTGGAAGAAACGCACGCGAATGACTCCGTATACAATCATTCAGCGCCTCAAGGGCGAAGTTGAAGTACTTACCCAACGGCGCGACACCCTTGTCGCTCGTTCTGTGCAAACTCGACACCATTTGAATCGACAGTATCAAGGCTTGGACGCGATCATTGGCAAACTTCAATGCGAGCTCTTCTCTCCACAATATTGGGCCCTTCCCCTAGACTCGTCTCCCTCTACGGTTTGAAATTGCATGAATGTAGGGCTTTCCATAATGGTGAAGTCAATAGGGTCGCGCAATATCCATTGTATCCCAGCCCACCGACATCCACTTCCATCAGATGGGCTCTGTCTTAGCCAAGTATGGCCTAGTACCCAACGTTCCCAATCGTCTTATACATAGCGTCCTGACACCAGTGGCTGGAAAGCACACCCTCGTGTACGCCCAAACCAACTACGCGCCCGCACCTGCGGCCACATATGCGAATGTGTACTGGAACACGTTTACGCGTAATCTGCCGTTGCAATTACCTGGATTGCGTGTCGAGGTTCGTGTACCAGCCACGGGCTCATCATTACTGCATGTCAGTCTCCAGTATGAACGCTGCAAGTGTATCCTAACGTGATGTTTGAGTAGCTGTTAAAAGTTCTGGACATGGACACAATGCTCGTCCAGCAATACCATGACCAAGTCGTTCGGTACATTCAACGGCGATACCAAGTATCCAAGGACCGCACGGTATTTGTCATGCGCTCCATCGACCATTCAGATACTAATACCCGTCAACTGCAATGTGGCTACGATTGGAACGAAGTGACCTGGTAACGTTATGTCATGTCAAACATGCATGCCGAAGTTACTTAATCCATGTAGTACTCATGTAGTACACCCTGTAGGTGTGTCGTGGACGCGCTCTCCGACTCGACATGCTTCGTTTCTACTTGTGCTGAAGTAAACTTGACGTTTACGCAAGGTTGGGGGTTCCAAGGCGACTTTGCAGCGCAATTGACAACGATCAAGGATACGGTGGCGAGTTATGTTGGTGACCTCGTGGCACCTTCACAACAACATCAAGAGGCGCTTAGACTTGAATACGTGTAAGCTGAAGTCGAAATTTAAGTTTGAATGTTGGGGCAATTGGATGTCGTTGTTACAGTACTCCCTCCCCTGGGCTCAAGGATACCCCCCCTCCATTCGACGCAATTTGTACATCAAAGTTGGAAGGCATGAACCAGTCATGTTAATGTATGTGCACGAGCAACTGACCTTGCCTCCCCAATGCATTTACTATGTGTGAATTAACACACTTGGGCGACGTTTACTATTAATAATACACGGATTACTTTTAGTAGTATTACATGTCATAAGTCAGTACTCGAGTAGTAAGTACTACTAGTATTACGTTTCAAGTGTTGCACAATTGTTCTGAAAGTCATCCCATACCGTATGTCGAGTGACATTATACCGTAGTCAATTGCGGGTACCACTACTATAACTTGAATGTCCACCGCGAGTGGCCAAAGGTACAGTATTTTGAGTTTTACTGTCAATGCACGCAACTTGGCCGCCGGCTCTCTATATACACTACCGGAAGCTAGATCGACTAACGAGTAACTCGATCGGGCTGAACGAAGCCTACGTGTTTACATGCTCTACGAGCCGAGTAAGAATGGTATCTCCAAGTCCAGTGCTGGTTTGAACGACATTTCGACAGTGTGAGTGCGATTGTGCTGATATGACTTGTGCCATTGATTACTCTACTTTACGTCATCTGAAACCCTGCACCCACGACAATCAGAATACAATGACGGATACATGTACCGGTATACTGATTGTCGTCAGCGCAATGGGACAAGACAAGCTGCCTTTTGAGCTACCTGGTAGACTCAACACCAAAGCTCATGAACCATCATTGAATCATTGCACTACCCCAGCTTGTACTGGGGGGTACCTGGCTTTTGAAAGCTACAAGCGTCCATCATAGAGGAGCGTGCACTCATGCGGGCTTAGTGTAGAAGCTTTACAGGAACGTCGAAATTAAGTTAACGTTGTTTACGTTGTCCAAAGAGGGACATATTTACCGATGGTGCCATCTTGGCCTGATGACGTCGCTGACGTTACAAGATAATTGCGAGGGGATCTACGTCATAGTATACTAGTCCTAGACAACAATCATTCTTTTACTGTAGATAGAAACCAGGGTTGGAGTGTGTACGGGTGCTCCTCTTTCAAAATTCGTTGTCCTTCCCCAATCACAACGACATTTATGATTACGCGTATTGCTGTGGACGACTGGACCGGCCATCTGCATAGTACAACAGCAGGACTTTCCTCCACGGTTCATCCTGTAAACAACATTACATGCTCTCCATTCGCAAGCACCCAGTCAAGCACTAGAATGTGCATGAATAGCCCGCTGCCATGTCAAGTCTTGTGGTGGATGGGTACTTGGAGGTGTGGCCATTCTATGGGGTACATTCTTCTGTTTAGTCTTGGTTTTACCGATCACTTGTGTGGTTCACGGGACGCGGTGGCGGCGGCACTGCGTGTTAGTGTTGCTAGCATGACAGGCTTTGTGAGATTAATACAGTGCTGTCTGGGGCCAAAAGAAATGCGCTTCAAATGGGGGCGGGGGCGGCGGCTTCTTGTATACTGTGTACAATCCGAACAACTGCTACCACAGTGCCCGTGTTCACCACCGCGCTGGCTAGATTGAAAATATACCATCTTCCTTCGTGTAGGTAGGACATTCATTCGCCTGTGTACAGTAATTGTCGCTGCTAACACATGAATCGCGTCAACATGGAGATAGTGCAAGAATGAAAATTGCACAATGGTACTAGTAATCAAGTTGGCACTTCACATTGTACTGGTCACGCGATAGACACAACATACGGTCGTGATACTTGCTGGTAGAGACAGACAACAACGTTTATCATCACACGTTTTTCCGTCGACCATATTTTAAACCCGATCGGACAATGAACATTGCCAATTTTGTTTTGACGGCACACGAACACACGAAAATGAACCACGCGAACGGTCACGGGCAACATGGCACGTACCCCCGCGAAGGGGACGCCATTGAATGTACTTACGGCGCGTTACCATCGCGCGGCGATGGCTCCATCTGCAGTGACTGTCACCACAACGTCCATCATAAGCGGTTGACGTCTCCTGGTGCAAGGACGTTGCTAGCGGCAAATCCACAGTTTTCCTATGTTAATCGAAAAGACATTGACGTGAGAAAGATCAAACAAGGCATTCAAATGGCTGAGCGCGCCATCGACGAGCAACAAAAACTGATTGAAGCGCTGGACACGACCAAGAAGTTGCGAGATCAGCGAGCCCGCCTCGACGCCGAAATTGCCCGTCTCGAAATTGACCTTGATGCCGCAATGTTGACGGCTTTGTTGACAGATGATACCAGTCCCCCATAGATTTCTTTAACACACAGGCGACGTTTTGTACAATTCCTAATATTCTCCTTGGTAGTATACCCATGAAATATATAGTCAGTGAAAACTAGTACTTCGCAGTGTTGCACGAAAGAAATCGATGTAATGGATGATACATACCTTATATCCCTGTACCTAACGTTACATGGGCCATGGAATCATCCAAACATATCACGTGTGATGAATGAACTCGTGTACTAGTAGTAATAATTGCATATTGGACACGATATTAGCTGCTTGGACAATTCAGATTGGTGACCATTCCCAGCCGAGGGCGTCTGCTGTAACAGTGAAACGCCCTCATGTGAACTGCATAAGAACAACTCAAGGGGTTGTATCGACTTGTAGTTGCCATTTTATCCCCTCGTTGTTCCTTCATTGAAGCCTCCTTGTAGGTAGTATCGAGTGCACTTTCACTTGGTACGTGGCATTTTGCGTTGATTCGAGATGACATGTTGCGTTGTGTCGTACTGACTGCATCACGTTGACCTCGCGTGTTCTGATTTGTCCTTTGTGCAGTTTGCCACATGTATACTGTAATATTGCATACGTTATGGGTACCATCAAGCACGGAATCCTAGCAAAGTGGTTCAAAGTCGACAAATATACGTATAATCTTCGAAGTGGCAGGCAGACTATTGTGGGAGAGGGGATTAGTTAGTCCGTGCACTTTTGGGTTTGGGGTGAGGTGCTTCAAGAGATTATGTCGTCGAACTGCAAGGGCACCGAAGCACCAATCACATGGCATGCATTTATCAACTTCTTGCTACATTATTATCTCTTGAGACCAGCACAGGAACACGAGGGCTGCCGTTCACAAAACCCACCTTGCCCCGAGTATACGTATACTGAGTACAGTCCGATTGACATCTACGAACACAAGGACTAGAAGGGTACCGCGATGTCCCCCAAGCGGGGGCTGCAATGGATTATCGTCAGAACTTGACGGAGGGATGCCGAGCATCACCCAGACCTTAGTCGAAGATTAAATCGCACACGTAGGATGACAGGGGGGAAGCGCTCATTCCAACGCACAAGGACAAGTAAATTCTACCAAATCTACTAACAGTAAGTACACAAGATTTTTGTTTTGTTTACTAATAGAGAGAATCCCGTGAAACTCGGTCAAGCAGGCGCAGTTGTCGTTCATATTTTTTGCAGGCTTCTCAAGGAATTGTCCAATACATTTTATCACATTTTTTACACATTTTATCGGACTCATCACGTCTAATGGAAAACATAATGTGGTTGTCCGCATACTGTGAACGAACAAGTAACAT